GCGATTATTCTATCGTCTAGCGACTGGCCACTACGCGGCCCAACCCCTCGAAGACGCTCCGCGCCACCAGACTATCGATATTTTAGACCAAAATATTGTATCGATATTTCAACGTTTCTATATCGTCCGTATCGATACATTTATCTCCAGAAATATCGAATCGATTTTTCTTTCTTTCTTCTGCTGAGTTGTGTATTTTACACCTCGGAAAATCGGAAATTATGGTCAATTTTTCATAGTTCGAATTTCGGATTTCGCTGGCCAGGTTGTACAGACCTACGTCACAGGGTAAACAAACCTCAAGATGCAAATACCTCCTTTTTTTTCTCTATGTAGGTATAGGACTTTTTGCGTGGCTGCTCGACGGTTTGTTAATCTGTGGAGGTTAAGCTACATTCACGCGTCGCAAGCAACCTGGCGCGTCTGCTTCTTGCTACTGCGAGCGCGCCTTCATTTCCTCCCGCACGCAACAAGGACAACCGCGATGATAAAGAATTCCATTCGGCGAAATCGAGCCGAGAGCAGGCACCACGAGTATATACATATGGGTTATTTTAGTGATGGGTGGGATTTTATTTAAAATTCCTATGAATCCTAGGTTTAGTATTTACTGTAGCAAACAATTATCAATTATTCCATCACTTCTTCGGATTATTTATTTTTATAATCAATCTATATTCATGTGAAGTGTAGCTCATCTGCATTTTTCTTTCCCTGGAACCTAAATGTATATTATGAATTTGAATCCATCAGAAACTAAGTCAGTCAAAATCAAATTTAACTACATACGAAGTGAAAACGATTTGTATTTCGCAAATCAAAGTGATAGTTAAAGCAACCAAACTGTGTCAGAAATGTTCCCAAATTACTAGGTACGGCTTTCATCAGCTCATCATCTGAGCCAATAATTTTAATTGTGGCATTTCATTCGGCATGTCGCCGCACGACATCTATGATACTCAAAGTCTCACATATATAATTTGAAAGGGGGGGTCTGGGGGGGCGGCGCCCCCTCAGCAGGTAGCTTTCGCTACTTGTTTTCTTGTATTTTTGTTATTGGGACGCATTGTCAGTAAAGCAAACCACGTCCTGAAGAGTAACTCTCACAGAACTAAAAGAATGGAAAAATTTACTATGGAAGGTATTTCCTGAAAGTAATTAAGGTCTGTTGGCTTACGATCATTGATAATGGGGACCAAAAAACTGCAAATAATTCACATTTGTTATATTGTAACACAAAAGTTCTGAGATCCTCACTCCGAAGAAGGATTGTTGAACATAGGTAATTCCATGTTACTGAAGAGAGCAGTTTGTAAAAAAAAAGAAGTTTTGAGAACATGGATCCAGAAGTGTCTGAGTGGAAAACTTACTATACCTCCTCTTTTGCTCCTGAAATTGTCAATTATCCTCCGAAAGATTCTCAGTAGGATAGTGGAGGTCGCCCTTAAGTCTTGTCAAATCGACTGTTGTGTGTAATCTCATTATTATTTTGGCCATTTCAGGTATTAACAGCGGTTCCGGCTCATTCCCTCTTCCCCTCCAGTGACTCAGAAATCACAAGCCTTCAGATGAATCCAGCTGAGAATTCCTTGACAGAAAACATTTTTGCTACCCAGGTTTTTCATTTTAATTTCTACCTCATGACCATTCGTTCATTCTGGATCACAATATTTGCATAAAATTCAAGAATTTCTGTTAAAACACCACTAATTATATCACAGCAGAGGGCTGAAAATTGGGATTCTGAATCTAAATTGGTTGAATGAAACAAGTAATTGTAAAAGTTCATGAGGAAGCTCAAAGTTTTTTAACAATGTTTTTAGTTCAGGACTTTTTAAAGCATACTCCCCCAACCATTTCTCAGCCCTTTACCTTTTCTGGGCATCAATGGCTAGTTTTGCAAGAGTAATTGGTTTCGGTGAATGTAATTGTAATTTTCTTGGAGTAGTCATGGTAATGTACTGAATCTGAAAATTGCCCGGTTTTGCAGCCCTTTGGATTGATATAGACTCAAGAAAAATCTGAGCATTTGAAGGAACAGATCCTGGAAGAAAAAATCCCCCCCCCCCCCCAATGTGAAAATTTGAAGGATGTTAGGTAGCATAATCTTATACTTATTGAGGGTCAGGTCGTAGGGAGTGAATGCTTCGTCAAAAGATACCACAAGCTATCTAAAACCCTATGCATCCTTTTATATGGACGTATTTCTGTCAAATAGAACTATGTGAAGGGGAAAGATGAGGTGTGCTCGTTAGTGCTCGGGCCATAAGAATGAATGGGAAATATCGGCGCCAGTGACGATGCCGCTGCAGCGCTCCTCCCGAGGCCGACTATCTCATGAGCCCAGTCCACAATACTCTAGATACTTGCCCAAGGCTCATGGGTGCCGTACTTAGTTGGCTCACAGTTCTGTTTGCTGAATTGGAAAAGTGGGATTCCACGTTCTGTCAAACGGAACTATGTGCTCAGGGTATGAGCTGTGGGTATGTATCTGGAGCGTTGTGGACAGAGCTCATGAGTTAGTCGACCGCGGGAGAAGCGCGGCGACGGTGGTTTCGTCACTGGGGCGCCAATATTTCCCATTCATTCTTATGACCCGAGCACTAATGAGCACACCCCATCTTTCCCCCTCCACATTGTTCTGTTTGACAGAAATACGTCCATATAATTCATGAGTTGAAGCATTCTGAGGAGTTGCATAGTACTGTTTGTTAAATAGGTGGTAACTGTAGTGGAGTGTGCACTGTGCAACTTTACTGGGAGGAGCTTTCACCAAAAATTTATCTGGTTGGTCCAGACCCTTTAAAATGAAACAAGCATTAGAAGGTGGTTACTAAAATTTTGGGGCAAGGTTTTTTTTTTTCACGCTGAACTCTTTCATTACTAGGTTAGATTCTGCATGTGCAATCCTTACAACAGGAATTGGTCAGGAAATATGTCTGAGTGCACTCTGTTCGGAAGTGCCCAAAGTTTTCGTTCAGATTCTTCTCAACAAAGAAACACAAATGTGAATACTTCTGAATAGAGGCTGTTTAACAATGATGGAATCTTTGCAGGAAAGATACAGTTTTGCCTCCTGCTGATACTGAGTTTGAGGTAATAAAAGTAAGTACAAATACAAATTATTTTTTACAATATGTGTATTTGTTTCCTTTCAGATGGAGAGTGATAAAGGAGAAGTGCTTTTCAACGAGCCGTCTACCACAAATCAAATTTTTGTTACATCTGAAGATAGCAACTTCCTATCCAGTTCTCCGCTACTATCTGCGGTTAGTTGACAGTCTTTTCTGCAAATAGTTTAAACTACATTTAATGTTAAATATTACCATCCGGTAAGGTACCAAATATAAGGTATAACGGTGGAATAGCTAATTACAGGAAAGATACGGGAACACTAGATACTTTCTTTTATTTTCAATTACTTGCATTAGTCACTTTAGTGTTACTCAAGTTTAAAATGATCTCAATTCCTTTGTAGGCTGAAGGCTACGTATCCCATACATGTCCCATTTTATGGACTCTTCACCTATCCTCGAGCATCTTGATTTTAGGCCCCAATGACTCTTATTAGACAGGAACATTTTTGGGATTGGAGGCCATAGTTCCAGTGGTAGAATTTTTAAGAGAGGATTTGCAGTCAAATTAAATCAAAGAATTAACAAAAAAAAAAAAAAAAAAAAACCCTGAAGTATTCCAAAGAACAAATTGTAAGCGGTGCAGTTCATTTTGTACGCCATTAAAGGGAATTGAGTTACTTTTAAACTCTGAACATAGGAGGGTAAACTTTTATCCTCTTTTTTATTTAAAAACTACATGTGTGAATGTTTTTTCCAAAACGTTAGTAAAACATTTCTGAATGATACCATTATGTGAATTTTGAGTTGTGGCACTTACGTCCTTTTTCCTGAAGACAATCACATTCTTTTAATTTTAGGTTTTCATGCAAACTGTTTCTCTTGTCTCATCAATCTAAAATTTTAACATTTTCTTCCCCAGATCCAAACAAATGCCTTAGGCGAAAGAACGGTGGCTGTTTCAATCGTTGAAGTCATACAAGAAGGTGATAATTCTACACTAAATTCCATTCCGGGAATGGAAACTAGTGCAGACACAAGTAGCTTGGAGGGGAAAAAGCAGCTTTGTCCTTTCTGTAGCAAGCCCTTCCTCTCAAAAGTTGACCTAGACTTTCACGTACAGTCTCACACCGGTCCACGCCCGTACCTATGCATTGTTTGCACAAGGACCTTCACGCAGAAAGCAACTCTCCGCAAACATATGAAATCGCACAAAGTCTGGCCAAAGGACTTATCTGGAGCTGCTGAAGCGAATCGATGCCAGTTTTGTGCGGAGGCATTTGCCAGTCCCTCTGAATTGAAGTCGCACCGTTTGAAGCACTTGGACCAGAAAGTTTACTGCTGCAGCCAGAAAGACTGTGAATGGACCTCACCTGATCTGAACACGTTCCTCAATCATGTAACATCACACGAGGTGTTCGGCTGTCATGTCTGTAAACAGAGTTTCTCCTCATTGGACAATCTGAACGTCCATCAATACATAGAACATGAGCAAGGAAAACTAAGTCCCAAGCAACAGGTATGAAATCATTTTATACAATGAATTATTTAAATTGAAATGCAAACGAGCAAGTAAGTCTTTCACACACTGCTCGTTTATGCAAGGATTATTCTTGGAAAAGTTGGATCAGTGTGCAATTTTCGCTAATGATTAATCAAATTGATTTTATCTTGATAGCATATGATTGAAGGCTCCATGTTTATTTCTTGGTCAATTGACTTACTCTTAAAGGTCTTGAAACTAAGGTCACACGGGAAAAAATACTTCCTATACCCATGAGGGGCACAAGACAGGAAAAAGGAAGGGCTGATAAGGGGCTGAAAGGTGGAGCTGTAATGGGGTATTAGTCCATGAGAACTACTCGAGGTAAAAAAGAGAAAAAGGTATCAAAGGGAAAAAAGGGGATGGAGGTCCGTTCACTTTTATGTTTCAAAATTACCTCTCATGAACCATTTAGTTATTCGTGGTCCAAAGAACTATTAAGTCCTTAGGGAATTTTGATAAATAACATGAAGAATACCATCAGAATTTTTAAATATGTTGGAAGTCTGGTTTTAAGCTCACAATTCTTTCGCATGAAATATCGATATTCTTTTCTAATTCTAATCTTTTTTACATAAATTATAGGTGGTTGTTGAAGTAGTACCTGAAAAATCAGGAGCCGGCTCAGACTTAAATAGTGCCAAAAGTGAGGTCTGTGAAAAAAAACAGTTAAAATGCCCCTACTGCAACAAAGTGTTAAATAAAAACTTTGATCTGGAGCAACACATTCGATCACACACCGGTGAACGGCCTTTCCAATGTATTGTTTGCGGGCGTGCCTTCGTACAAAAGTCGCACGTCAAGAAACACATGGCATCGCACAAAGTCTGGCCGATGCCAATCACAACTCTAGTCAAAAGTGAAGTTCTCACCGATTCCCGCAAACCAAATGCCATGAGCCAGTCTTACGGATGCCAATTCTGTTCTGAGGTGTTTCTAACTTTTCGAGAACTTAAAGTCCACAGAGTTTCACATGCAGATCGCAAAGTCTACAAGTGCATTCAAAATGTGTGCGAGTGGACTTCACCTGATCTTGATGCGTTTCTGGAGCACTTGTCATTCCACGATGAAGATGCTAAGTACAACTGCCACATTTGTCACAAAGTGTTCACGTCTCTGGACGACTTTGGTATTCACCAGTATTACCATGAGATATCGCCAGGACAAGCTCCAGGTAAGAATTTCAGGTGCAAAAAATGCAAACGGAAGTTCATGTCTTCAGAGCTTCTGAAACAGCACATGCAACGAGATACACACCGACATTTGTGTCAGTTTTGCAACCGCGTGTTTGTTGCGGAACGGTTTCTACGGAAGCATTTACTCATCCACGCGGAAGATTTCCAGTACGAGTGTGAAACATGCAAGAAAAAATTCAAGACGCCACAGTACCTGGATAGGCACATGAGCGTCCACTCTTCTAGCATGCCATACCCTTGCCCACGGTGCCCGATGAAATTCAAACGCAAAGACCGGCTGAGCCGGCACTTGCTTCTCCATGAAGGGGTGAAGAAATACAAATGCTCTTTTCGAGGTTTGCTCGGCTGTGATAAAGAGTTCTACCGAAAGGATAAACTCAAAGACCACATTCTTACACACTATAAGAGTGACCGCACTGTCTGTGATATTTGTGATAAAGATTTTAAACGCTTTTCGGCCCTGATGAAACATCGGCAAATTTGCGCTGCGAACCGAGAGAATAACGGAGATGAGGAGTCTGAAGGCCCACCACCTGCCAAGTCTTCAAAGCCCAAGCAGCATAAGGACTCCTTTTCCAAAGCAAAATGTTTTGACGAGACTGAAGTATCTCCGGATAATGATAACGTTCCTACAATCGAAATCGTTGTGATGCCTGTCAACAAGAGCACTCGTATGAGCCGTAATTTAGCATCTATTCAGCTGAGCGCTCTGAATAGTGAGCAGCTAAGTAAGATTTTTGTCACAGAAGCATCAAGCGCTGGTAACTCTGAATCCACTGACAGTGGTTCTTCATGAAGACCATCTAGTGGCAGTATAATTATACTATTCTCTCATCAGAGCTTACAATTGTAGATTCTAGTTAGCTATGCATCTAAGCATCGTTCAAACTTTATACTTTTGAGACCTAAAAATTATTTTGAAACTTTTTTGTATCGCTCTGCAGTTATTTTTATAAAATTAAGAGGTATCTTTCAGTGCAAACCTATCAACATGGAGTTAACTAGTATGAAATGACTATTTAGTGTATTAACCAATTCTTATAGCATTGTTGTATTTATTTGTTTCTTTATTTATAATTTACACCCCTACCCACTCTACAATATATTTGTTTGAGTTCAATTTTTGATAATACACTTTATTTTGACGCAATACAGGATAAGGTTTCGATTATTTTAGGTTTTATTGCTTATGTTTGAGGTTTAGACTCACTCTTCTTTGTGTCTTTTTGTTAATTGTGTTTTTTTGTATTTTGAGAAAATGGTAGAGGATTCCTGCGCCTGGTTTTTGTGTTTTCTATCCCTGAATTCTTACTTCTGAATTCGTACTTTTCCAATTTAATTGAAAGTAATGTTTATTTGGAGCCAGCATACGGCTAAAATCGATTTTTTTTACATGATACTTGAGATTTTTACTTGAATTGTGCGCATAAAAGTGAAAGTTTAAACTTCAAAATTATTGTTCACGCACCTTTTCTCCTTTTATTTTTACTATTAGAAGGTTCTTTAGCAAATGGATATGGATAAATGAATAGCAATGAACTTGATAAAAATACATTTCTAACTTGAACCAATAGTCCTCAATCAGAGAAAGCAGGCAGCAACAGTGCTTTTAAGACTTAGACTAACAATTATACATCATTTCCGCTTAGTGTCAGCTTGTTAAAATCAACATGGTCTTGCTTATTCTGTAAAAAGGAGAAGTGAATCAAGTGGTTTTAATTCAAATAAAATGTAAACTTTATGATTACTAGTTGGCGACAGAAGTGAAAAAGCACATAACTGTTATATTCTTTAATTTTTCATCAAAGTGATTTAATTTATTTTCAAACAAATGTACATCATGTTCCACAGATCTTTAATTGAGTACAAATTCTCAAAATATTTGAATTTGTACCTATTTCAAGATCAATAAATTTGTTGATTGTTATCCTGTTTTTCTTGTGTTTAACTTTTCCTCCAACCATCAAAAATGTATTGTTCTTATTCTTGGTACTTACATTTCAAGTCATTGTTGAAGAATATGAGGGACCTAACAGGTCGTGAAAATTGAAGAAAATTGCAACACCCCCCCCCCCCTAAAATACTCAAGGAAATACTAAAAAATGTAGGAAAGTTTGTCAGGAGTAGACATGCATTTAAGAAACAGTTTTTTCTACCGAGTTATATTTGTGAAGAGCATTGTCATCTGAAAGGTTGTGTATCTATGGCTTAAGTGCCAAACCTCATATCTTCATTATGATGGTTCAACATTTCGGCTCCTATTTTATTTTTTTGAAAAGAAACAAGGCAACATTATATCTTGAAATTTATACAGATTATTCTGCAAACAGAGAAGAAAAATCAGGGTGGTTTTAAAAAATTATGTAGACTAGTTTTCCAAGTAAAAAAATAAGAATAACAGAAAGTCCGACGCAACACAAACAGAGATGTGTGGTTTTGTACTTAGGCAATCCATATGTGCCATCAATTAAAATTCATCAAAAATTTAATCAGTAAATTTGTTTGTTAATACCCCTTTTAGTTTTCTTTTATATTGATCAAAATCATTGATTAAAAAATCAATCTACGTACATGTCTATAATGAGCAGTCATGTCCAAGGTAGAAAGTTCTATCTTAAAAGTTAGTTTATGGGAACAAGATGGCACAATGTTTGCAGACAGGACGATAATGAAATCAAGTGCCTTGGCAATCTATTCAGAAGAATTTTAAGACTGAAGAACTTGCCCTAAAATAGCTGTTGTTTCAAGGCATACAACTAAAATTGGAATTTTGAGAAACTCCAAACAAGAAAAAAGTTTGGCATACTTATAGAAAAATTAGATTCAGATTTTGACTCAGTTTATAGTAAAAGAAAACAAAGTGAATAACATTAAACAAACTTTTATTAATCTGAATACAAAATGACATACAAAAGCGTTAGATTTTCTTCTTTTTTATTCTACGTTCAATTAATTATAAAACTTACAAGGCAAAGAAAACGCCCAAATTTTCATTAATATCACATGCAGAGACAAAAATTTATAAAAATAATTGTAAAAAGCACTTAGTAATTAGTTGATGTTGGTTGGAACACACTTGAGTACAGTTTTGATTTTCATGCACTCGAATAATTTAATCCACCTAAATTATCATATAAAAATAAACTGATTTGGTAAGGTGTAGGGTCACCAATTAAGTATATTCCCATAGGCAAGGAAAAAATTCTGCCAAGCTTTAAGAACAGCGTAGCAAAATTGAGCTGATTTTGTCTCATTACTAGTTGATAAAACTGTCTTCTAATGAGGAAAACGTTGTTAAATTGCAGCCAAGTCTGAAACAAACAGAAATTCTTAGCTGAAGACAATGAAATATAGATGACAAAAGCATTAGAATAAAAACGGCCTTCCCCTTCACTGAGATGAAATGAACGAGAATAGGGGTAGAGCACTTCTCAGTTAAGAGACAGAGAAGTTGACAGACAAGACGAGGATAAAGAAGATGCGCTGCACTGATAATAAGTCCAATGGAACTCTTGCATGTGTCAGAGCTGTGCGATTTTAGTGCTTAACCTTATGCAAAATATTTCAAAAGAAAGAAAGAAAAAAAAAATCATGATACCACCGGTTTCCTCTGGAACGATCTGCCAAGCTCAGGAGACCTCTCAAAGTTGAGGCTTTAATGGAGGAGATATCCTGTGTTGCGCTGAGAGTCCACTTCTACATCTAGTTAAACTCTCCATAACACAGATAGGCAGCAAGTACTTTGCACGGTTCCCACTTTGTTTGGGGACTCCAAGGCTGGAACCGCAGCAACCCTGCTAATGTATTTGCTCCCAATCTGTGCATGGAGAGTTTGACTAGATATGGAGGTGGAATTTCAGTGTAGCAAGAGAGATCCCCTCTGTCACGGCTTCAATTTGAAGAGGTCTAAAACGCTATCTTGGCTCCTGTTGCATCGATTTTTGTGAAACTCGGTATCAAGAGGTATTTTTCGACGGGAAACTCAAACTTTTGGTTAGATTTTCAAAATTCTCAAATCCAAGATGGCGGACGTGGTCTAAAATGATACATCCGTTCCTGTTGCAGTAATGTTTTTGAAATTTGGTGAAAAAGAAGATGAGGACAAAGATCTTGTCTTCTCACTAAAGTTAAAAGCTATGCGGTGCAGGGGCGGTTCGCAGAGCAAGTCGCAAGTTCATCGCCAAGCTAGGAACCGGGGGTTCAGGAGCACTCCCTGGCTAGGCGTGTCAGCTCGTAAGGCAAGCTAATCACGACTAGTTTTTCAATATAGTTCGCTAAAAAAAAAAAATTGTGGAAAACTTTAAAGTAAAATAAGATAAAATATACATCCAATAACTCAAATGCTTTTCTATGATTATTGAGTTCTTTTTTTTTCTCTCCAATTTAATTTTGATCTTTTTATTGATTAATTTATTATTTTTTAAAACTTGTCAAAGTTTAAGACTCCACCTTAAGACCAGCAGAAAACCCTCACTTTGTTAAGATTTGGAAGCTTACGTCGCCGGTGGCAGAACCTTTGCGATTTGGAATGCAATTAAAACTTACTCTTTGAGTGCGGCAGCAGTTTCTTCAACTTTGGATGGATTGCAGACAAGAGCAGTTCGTGTGAGGGGCGAGTTAAACAATGCCAAAACATATTTTGGTCCGACTTTTTTTACGTCTTCGATGGTAACTTTTTGGATACTCTCCACTAATTTCCTACAGGAGGAAAAAAAAGTTTTTAAAATTATTTCATGCAGTAGGAAAGTTTCTGAGTTTCTTCAAATTGATTTACTAAATTTTGCAGGGGATATTGAACGACTTTTCTTGTAATCACATGAAGGAAAAAATTAAAGCCTACTACATAACCGTTATGGATGTTTCTTGAACAGAACATTGTACATGCATATATAGAAAACCTTATTATATAAACATGAACTTCTGTAATGGTGACTAGAAGTTCCGTTTTTTTTACACCTCGAAAAAATTTTCCTTTACTTTCTGTAATTTTGCTTAACATGTGACCGAATCTGTGAAAAAGGACTATATTTACCAGGAGAAAATTTTCCTCAACTTTTTCCAAAAACTTAAACCACGTTTTCCTACAACTAAGAATTCTTGTTTTGGAGCTTCAGTACTCATATCTCCTTCAATTTTAGAGCTTTCAAAGGTAAACTTGATCTAAAATTTCCACATTTTATCCTTCCATGCATTAGTAAAAAGTTAAGAAAATTTTCTGCTGAAAGATAAGGTCCCTTTTTACAGATCCGATCACGCAAGTGTGTTTTTATTGAAAAGCAGTGCACAACAAAAAGGAAAAAATTGAATTCTACAACTATTAACTACTGCTTTTTAAAATTTCTCATTGACGAATCCCTCATTTCATCGAACTTAAGCTTCTAATGTTTTATTTTTTATTAATTTACAGCCGGACAAATTTAAAGGCAGAAATCTATTAAATGAGATGGTGATACAGAAAGTTCATAATTTTCTTTAGAAAAAGAATAAATACGGGTAGAGAAGAAAAAACGGACGAGAGACGGGTCGAAAACGTCCTTGTTTTTCGTTGAAAAATACGTACTGGTTATAATCCATGGCAACTTTCTTGAAGTTTCGTAGTAACGACTGAAGAATTACATCACCAATATTTTTCTCCCTTTCAATGATTTCAAAGATGAGTGAACTCTTTGCTGATTCAAAGAGTGTTGAATCCCATTGCTGAGACTGACACAATTCTTCCTGTAAAGATAAGAACCATAAATTGAACTTTATCTAGGTCAGCATTCTTCAGGAACGACTTTGAAAAATCTTTTTGAGCTGTCTAAGAATTAAATCAGACAGGGAAAATTAAGGGAAATCTGACTTGTATGATTCTAGGAAACTTGAGACCTCTCCTGAGAAAAACTAGTGGACAACAGTAGTACGAATGTGAGTATTGTGTGTGACATAAAGTTTGACAAGACAGTCTTGACCATCTTGAGTTTTTGATTTATTTAGTTCCAAAAAAAAAAATCTTGATTCACTTGGTAGTTTGACTTGGAAAAAATTCTATGAAGGTCCTCCTCAGCTTCTCTTGGTACTGACCAAGCACACAAAATCATTTTTACCAAAATTCAGACAAAATTTAAAGTCTCAGTTGAATTTTCTTGAGTTAACATCTCCTTGAATGTGACCTGTTTACACTGAAGTGGAAAAGAGGGACGTTTTCTGGCAGGTCTTAAAATTCAAACTTAAGTTAAAAGAGAGTGAGTAAATTTAACAATTTTTACTTTGCAACCCACAAAAATATTTGCAGAATAAACTTCATACATAATTATAAAATTTGCTACCAATGTTTTATGCAATACCTTACTCAAAGAACCTCTTTCATAGCTTTGAGATAGTTACAAGACGAAAAGAATTTGATGAGGCGCTGCAACTCTTGAACAAATAAAAAATGAATAGACAGGCCTAAAAGTAATTTTCTCGTCAAATAAATTCAAAACCAAAAACAAGACACACCCAAACAAAATCGAAAAATTGTCTTACTTTTTTATTGTCTCAACGTTTAGCAACTATATGTTTGAAGCAGTGTTAATTGTTTATTTTTACAATTCCAATTTTTAATACAATTTAAAGCCACATTCCCCTTAGAGTCAAGTACTTCTTGTCAATTGTTCCAAATGATTGATTGAAAGCAGAAAAGTTAACAAGAGAAGAGAAAATCACAAATAATCAAATAGATTAAGTAAATTATTTAAAATAAATTACTTACAATAATTTTTTTTGTTGTTTTATAAGCCGCAACAACATTGGATGCTTTGAAGAAAATTAAATTCAGCAAGGATTCATTCGGCCGTGGGATCATACTGTATGTGTAGGCAAAACCAGCGCCTCTAATTTGTCGCCATAGAGGTCCCTGTACAAAGAAAAATTGTATTATTTGTGACGTTTATTATCATTCTTTATTATTCATGAGGAAAATGGCCTCCACAACAAAAGCTCAAAACTGAATTAATGATGTTACAGCATATAAGAGTGTTCAACAAAGATTTTGGGACAAAACATTATCACATAATGCTGTCTCCTACACAAAGGAACGTTTCTCGATTGCACCTTTTCAGTATTTCTCACGGACAATTTAGATTTTCATATGAGAATCCTCAAAATGATTTAGGCTGAAATATTCACTGATTTCTCTTTACACCTGTGAGACAAGACACCAATATTTTCAGACACAGTACAATGGTTCTACCATAAAAAGTAAAATGTTCATAGAAATACTGAAACAGTACAGACAAGATACCTTCCTTCTTGTAGGAGATGATGTTATGTCAAACCAAACCAAACTATGTCCTTTTGAAAAACTTACTTTTGAGAAAAAACAATTTAAAATACTAATCCATTTTCCAGACATAAAATGCATAAATTATAATGTCATTTTACCTCCTCTATTGGCACAAAAATGAACTAAACTACTCGCAACTTCTTTTTTGAAACACTAGGGAGAGTTTTCTATTAAAATCTCAGGGTTCAAATTTTTAACCGAACTTGATAAAAGGCACTTGCACAATTTTACATCTATGGACCAGGGTCCTTTTTCCCTTGGATGATCGTATTTTTGTTATTCGGTTATTTTTGTTAGCCACAATGAAGCAGACATGTAGAGCTTTCCTGCATTCCTTCAGAGTGGATCAGATCCGGGATGAATTAAATGAAGATAAAAGAAGTTAAGTAAAAAGATACAAACCTCTAGCTGTGTTAAATACTGTAGGAATACAAGAAGTACAGGTAGGTCAGGATGATCAAACTCTTTGATGGCAGGTGTGGACTGTAGGAAGAAATTTGATTCAACAGACCCCATCCCGACGACGCAACCAGACACAGGTCTTTCTTCTTCGGATGAGAGCAACTTCCAATCCGGAGTAACGTGCAGCCTGAATAAGAAGATCTTTTAATTGGATGTTTTCAAACAAAAGTTAGGTCAAAAAATCAGATTTTTAGTTTTAGACAGGAAATGTTCTCCAGGATCCTTAAGATTAAAATGCATGGGTTCTAGATAAGTTTCTTGCCAAAGGAAGGAATAAAGTTACATTTCAATCAAATTATGTCTAGCTCCGAAAGTCGCTGATTGAAATTTTAAAAAACTTTAGTTCAAAATTACATTTTTGGAGCAGCAAACTTTCAGTCTTTATACCACCCGTTTGATCTTAACATTGCTGGGCAATTACAGCAAAATGTTTGTAAAATACTTCTTTCAGTGGCGTTGACGATATCTCGATCTTGAGAATCTGAGCACTTAGATGTATTTGTGAACAGGTGAAAATTAACGATGATGATTATACCATCATCTGAGCCCCCTGGCTGCTCCGCGGTCCAACCCCCTAAAGGCGCTTCGCACATCTAATCTACAGGAAAAAACCTAACTACACCCCCAAGGTCTTTACCTTGGGGGTTGAAATATTCATGTGGAAATTAGAGGGTTAAGGTTGTAAACGCAATCTTTATCTACCAGGCCCTTTGGTAGGACTTACCGAATCAGGAAGGCCCTGGAACTAATTCCCGCTACAAAAATGTAAAAAAATAGGTAAGAAAGGTAAGATAGGTAATTAAGGAAGTTGGATTAGATGGCGAAGTGTAAGAGGGAGAGGTAGACTGAGGAATTGTGGGAGTTCTTGCTTCCGCAAAATCGCCAAGATAAATGAATGGACAAAATTATTGCCAAAACCATGCACAGTGAATCGAGTCAATTAGAGAGGTCAAACATGAATTTTTTTACTAAGACTGCAAATTTCAATATTTATTTCATCACATTACAAATTTCAAGGAGTGTTTCAAGCAAAAAATTTCTTGTGGAAACCAATGGAACCACTTTAAAACCTCAAAGTTTTGTATAAACCGAGTTGTAAGTTGAAAGTTTCCGAATTTTGTCCGACCTCTCCTATTGACTCGATCCACTATTCGACAGTGGTGACTGACGGGAGGTAAGAGAGGTAGTAGCAACGGTAGCTGGAGTGGCACAGGTGGTGGAGGACTCCGAGCCAGAGGGGAGCAGGAGACGGCAGGAAGCACGTGAACGTGGGCGGCGGGTGGGGAGCGGGGAGTGGAGGAGAAACCGGTTTGTGACAAGTTTAGCGTGACACCCTCAGCGTGACACAGTACCCTTATGATTTTATACTGTAGGGTAAGATTTCACAGGGGCACAGGGTGAATATATTCAATACTCTTGCATCGCATAGAGAGTGACTTACGGGTTTTTGACGGGTGTTTGAGTATCAGGCAGGAGTCTGGCAAGAGTTGAAACTGCATCAGGGTGCAATTCACAGAGATTTCCGATGTTCGCCGAAAGATGAATGGCCATGTTGCAGGGTGTGGTAATAACTTCCCTGACAGCATTGAACTCTGAAATTACTTTTTCTGGGTCTGCACTTAACCGTTCTAATAACTTAGTCAGAAACTTATGCTGTTGAAGAACACTGAACGCATAGTGATTACTACCTGAATGACAAAAAATATAGTTGTTTTGAGTTAATCAGAAGTATCCTGTAAGTTAAATAAGGTTTAAACTACAAAAATGGACCTTGATTCGCCTTGCAAGTGTTAGGATCCTAATTTTAAGCCCAGAAATAAAATTTGTGAAATACATACATAAGAGAAACTTCATGTTGACGGTGAAACTTCTAAAACCACGTACCTCGGTTTGAGATGTTGCAGACTTCCTGTCATACTTCATTTCTTAAATAGAAAACTACTCAACAGGAATTCTTAAAAATTGCCATGATTTTTCTTCTCTGAACTGAGAAAATTCTGCGAGAACTTCAAGTAATGATGTTGATTTTTTCCCCTTTAAAAAAATAAAGGAGGAGCGGAGATTTTGAAACATTACAGGCAAGAGGCATGACTTTTTGGTTTGACTGTCAATGCGGTTCCAAATAAAGCAAAATTTTGGTCACAGAAGGAGATGAAGCTATTGATTTTTTAGACATTTCAGGAGCCGTGTAATGAAAGGGGAATGTTGCAGAACCAAAAATAAAAAAATACATCATTTAAAAAATGTCCCTTCATTTTGAAACATTGAAGTTGGGTATACTATTGGTGACTTAACACGAAAGGAGCACAGAATAAAAAAAATATTATGAAATTACGAGTTTCTTATGGGAGGTCGACTCCGGAATTTATGGTTGATGCATGGGAAAATTAATCTCTCCAGAAAAAGTAAAATAAAAATAAGTCAGTGAGGATGTTTTTTTTGCACTTCACAGGATAAGATGAGCTAATAATTGAATCGTGTCGAGTGAAAACCACTAAAGTCTATATTTCCAGTCTTCAGTTATTTTGGGTTGATGACACTTTTTAAAGTAGAAGAGAACCATGAAAGTGCTGACTCATCTTGGAGTTAACTCAATCCCAGAATGAGTATTTATACCACTTTTATGATTGTATGGAGTACAGGCGCTAAAAGGATAATATTAACACGATAAAGCACACAGCTAGAAAAATGGATAATAGTGATTTTGGCACGACACGATTCAATTTCAGGGCAATTACAATGTTCAGTGACTACATTTTGGTATGGTTTGCACCTTTCATTTTCTTGAAAACGGTGTTACATTAAAAAATCTGACGCATCTTCATAAAAACAATATAAGAAACATTAAATGAAGTTAAAAGTTGGATCATACTTTTCTTGAAAAAAAGGCCTTTCATTAAATTTCGAACCATAGAGTTTCCGCAACGTTTGATGGCAAAAACGTCATTAATGATTTTCGTAGCAATTATTTTGATTCGTTCAGCAGTGAATACTGTTTGGTATAAAATTTCACGGATCCAGTTAACTCCTTTTTCAAACTTTTCGGGCTCAAGCTGAAATCAAAACAGTTTGTTAAGAATAATTTACTTGCAAGTAGAAAAATTGAATTGAACTTTTCTGAGAGCATGTTTGCAGAAACCTTAAAAATATTGTAATTTAACCTTCAGGTATTGAAGTAATACACTAGTCAGTATGCTTTTATTTAATTACAATTTTCAAACCTAGAGTTTAAAATGACATTACAGCTGACTTATCTTTCTTGAAATTTTCATTGGGGGCTCCAGTAGATTCATACAAAATGCAATTTTACAAATGAGGAAAACTTTAAATTATATTGTGTAAAAAGTAGAATCAAGGAAATCAAAAAAGAATATGATTGCAAATGGAATTTGGTTACCTGAACAAATAAGCGAAGAGTCTCCGAGTACGGACCACACGTGAATCTTGGCATTCGTTCCAGTCCTACATTGATTTCAGTCTGAACGGTGTCTGACTCTAGTTGGGTCACTACATCTTCATAAGAAATCATATTCCCATCTCTGTTGATAGGGCTCTCCAAAAGACACTCAGTGAGTATGAGCAGATAGGAACGGAGTTCTTGAGGGAGCGAACTACTATCCATCAGGATGGCCATCTGTAACGACAATCAATTAATGCAATGAAGTATGGAGTGTAGATACGACTTAAAACACTACATGTAGACAAAAATTGATTACATTACACATTTTGCGATAAAATTAGACATTTAGTCATCAAATCCAAAATTTTTCCGTTAGGCAAATCTGAAATTAGGCCTTGATGTAAAACACCTCATTGTAAGAACAATCCTCACATTTAAACCTTTTGAGCTTCCCAGAAAACCTCAACCACTACTGTAGTGCACACGAAGGTTAGTTTCATCATCCCTCCGGTTCTGTTAGACACCAACGTTATTGCTGAAAACTGAAATAACTCACATCAACACCTAATCTGTTTCTGAATTAATGACTTCTCAAGAGTATATTCCCAATAAATAGCTTGACAACTACAGTTAAATCTCTGGCACAGTAGAGCCATATCTTCTGAAGGACAAAGCTAAAGATAGGTACTCACATGTACAAAACTAGTTTGGAAAAAATTAACATTCATATGAATAGGAGCTAAAAATCAGTACTCACATAAACAAAATTGGTTCGTAGGTCATCAACATTCATGTAAATAGGAGCTTTTGAGGCATTAAATAGAGGGTGCTGTGGACTATCTGGATCGGCAGAATAACTGTGGATGGAATGGTATTTGATGGAATCCGTTGATGGAATCGGAACTTTGACAAGCATATCGTTGGGAGGAGGAATCTGCAAATTCGAAAGAAAAAAGAGAAACTTATGGTCAAGTTTAAATTCAAATAAAAATGAGATAAAACAACTATCTATTTAACAGCATGTTATAAGTACTAAAAATAACTGTGTAACTTAAGGCACCAGTAAAGATACCTAAAACTCACCCGATAGTACTCAAAATTGATGTAATTAGTATTTATAATTCCCAGATATAATTCAACCAAAATTGCCTTATAAAAAATTCATTTCTTTCGACTTGAACTAAGACTGTAAAAATGGTAGAAATTGCACAACGTGCCGAATAACAGAGAAAATTGATTTAGCACAATCCTATAGTACATAAAACATATGAACTGCCATATTAGAATAGAATGTACTGTTTTGAGTGAATTACGGTGGAGTTATTGCATGTGTCATGGATCTAAAATTTAAGTACATTTCTTCAAGTAACTTTTTGTGAGAAACAAAATGATACCACTGGTTTCTCTAAAAAAAACTCCTAAGCTCAAAAAAAGTTCTCAAAGTTGAGGCCACAAGAGGGGATGTCCCGCGCTGCGCTGAGAGTCCACCTCTACAGTTAATCAAAATCTCCATAACACATATAAGCAGCAAATACTTTGCACAGTTCCCACTTTGTTTGGGGACTCCAAGGCTAGAACCATGGCGACCCTGCTAATGTCTTTGCTCTCTGTCTGTGCATGAAGAGTTTGATTAGTTACGGAGGTGGAATCTCAGTGTAGCAAGAGAGATCCCCTCTGTTACGGCTTCAACTTGAAAAGGTTTAAAATGCGAAACCGAATTGAACAATAGACTACCTCATTCTGAGCCATGGCAGCTTCTAGCTCGCGCTCTTTTTGTTTAAGACCTTCGTCCCCAATTTGAGTTCTTTGCTTTGAGATCCTCTCTTTCTCTTCCGTCATCATTCGTTTTAATTCTGCTGTGCTTGGTTTGCCTTTCACCAGAACATGAAGAGCGTCAACAAAATATTTCTTGAGAAGACTCTCCCAAAATTCTAGAGGCTCATTCTTCATCTTGTCTAGCTGCGATATTTGATTCAATCGGAGGTCAAGCTAAAATAAGACAAAAAAATTCATGAGATGAAAATTTCAGTGGCAAATTTCTTACTTGAGGTTAGTTGTAAACTTAGACTAACGGTTCATGATGCTCATTATATGATATTATTCTGTGAAAAATGAGATTGCTGCATTTTACGTTTTTCTTGTTCTTTTCTGCGTGAAAATTCCTCTTTCCACTTTTACAAGTTTTCATCACTTCATTTTTATAAATTGAAAGAAATGTTTCACAATTTTTTTAGTTATTTATGTTGCATATTTGGAAATTTATTTTGCGTTTAGCATCAATGTAAGTGATTTTTAGAATTTAACACAATTTGATTCCAATTTTTTTTCATTGCTTCATACTTTTCTGTGTATTTCACATACATCTTACTTAAAATAAAGAACAAAAATGATTTTATTATACATACATTACAACAATTTTTTTAAGGTATGAATTTAACAGCTGATGTTATTAGGGAATAGTTGAACTTCCTCATGTAAATCTTCACTCGTCTGTCATGATTACTTTCAACTATAGACGCGGTTAGAGTAACATCACGGAAAATCAATACATGAGGCCATACAAATATAAACAGCGGAATGCAAGGGGTGTCATCTCCTAAAGGCCTTCATGCAACAGGTCTTATTCAATTTTTTTCTATTGTGATAAGCTTGTATAAATGATCCTTAAGGAGATTAACATCATTATAGAAATAAGTAATTATACAGTTATTACTTTTAAATACCCTTATAAGTACATACATTAAGATAATTGTATATATTTTCTCCTAGGAAGGTTACAATAGATAAACTCCTCTTCAGCGAATTCTGACATCTGTTGTTTTTAGATATAACGCAGTTTTTTAATCATGTCTTAATGGAAAATTATACCAAAAGTCTGAAACTTGGTACCAACATTTTCCTATCTTTTATTATTCCTCCCTATATAATTATTCCTATGGTAGTTGTTCAATATTTGCTGTTTATACAGATATGACTTCAAATCATGTATCAATTCATTTTCATTGGTGGAATTGAGAGAGGTTGTGTCATTGCTATTGTTCGGATCCAATTCGACATAATGGTGAATCCTCATGGTGACATCTTCACTAAAAGTGTTTTTCCCATTAACCTCAAAGAATGGTTGATATTCATGCTATAACGCCAGAGCAAACTGTCTTTCCAATCATACCCCTGTGAAAAGTGAAGAGAAGTAGCTGATGCTGCAGTTGTATATGCACTCAGTATAGACAAATACTCACGTCTTCTTTCGTGTTCCCATACAACATGTCATTAATCACGATAAAAGCTACGGCAGGATGAGGGTTTGTTTCCAGGAAACTAAGACACTCAAGCTTGTGCCGATGAATCACAGAATGGAACCGCTTCATGTCGATTTTTTCCACACCATGACTGATGTCATGCAAGACAGATTTCAGTTTCGGGTAAACAGCGTCAAGTTTGGGCACCGGCACGTTTTCAAACTGCAGGAGGAATGCTGATTCTGAATTTTCAACGATAGAATAACACACCTGCAGGGAAGCAAATTGCACTAATCAGCAGGAAGTTGACAAATAAAACTGATACTAAGTATCTGAAATTCTTCACACACTCTTGAATATGTCTTTGACTTTTGTAATAAATGATGCAATAGAACTTAGGAAATTTGACTGTCCCTCACTTGACACATTTATTTTCCAGCTACCTTCTAATTTCTCACAAGGGAAAGAGTCTCGAAGGGGAAAAGTGTCCTGTTACTTTTAACTGCCTCTAAAAAATTTCAATTTTATAAACGCAGGCTGACAGTTTTTCCAATGATTTTTTTTCCTACCACTTTTGAAAAATTAAGTTGTCGAAGAGATGGGGGTTTTTTGGGCTGAAAAAAACCATTCTTTTGGTTGAAATTCGATGTTCCGAAAATATGGTGGTGCTATAAAAAAAACTGAGGCTATTTTCGGCTTCAGAAACAAAAAGTAGGTGATAATGACCCCATTACATTCTTCAGACAATAGAGTGAGCTTTAGATGGTGGTATACTACAGGCAAAGGAGGAATTTCACTAAAAACCTCCATATTAGGGGCAGAGGGGAAATGTGTTCGACATGCAATACATGCTTATCTATGTATTGTTGGCTGTTATATACGTAATGGGCCTTGGTTTTCCTCTTACGTGCACATATTTTCTGAAATAATTGAATTTTCTCTGACAAAGCTTGCTTTTTAAGGAATATTCCAATTTTTCAAAGGAAAACTGAATTGATCCAGAGAATCAATGGTCATTTTCGAAAACAGTGCTAAATATCTACCTTAAATAAATTACCAAATTTTTGGCAAATCTAAAAAAAATAGAAAGAAAAATTGTCGATCAGTGTAATCTATTAGCCTTTGTCTGCTCTAAAATCCTCTTCATTATCAGCGATGCTAGTAATGAATGACAGATTTCTTGACATGCCATTCTTAAGCATCCATTTCAGCTATGATGGATAGGAGCTCTAATTTGGTTTGGAAGAATAATTCTTGCAAGAGTTGGAGATAAGATTGGTACAAGCCAAGATCTTTACTTACATTACTACAATAAGAGTCATCAATCTCGACAAAGTGTTGGGAGAGGGGGCTGACAGCAGTATCGGTCAGGTACTTCAATAGCACAGAACAGCAGGTCAGTCTGCAAAAGAGGTACAAAAGAAGTTGAGGCAAATACACCACCGCAGGAAACCACTAAAAAACTTGTATATTTTTCAAAGTCTTCTGAGACAGACTCTGTAATCTCACGTTGTTTCAAGTAATCTGAGAAAAGCATGTTGATATATTTTTAAACCTATTTTTCAATTTAAAATTTGTGGTCATAACATATGAATAGAAGCTAGAAAATCGGGAAAATTTTCAGGGATGGGGCAGAGTTCAAACTCTGCTTCCAAATAGATAGCATGAATAATTAGAAGTCAACTATTTTTGGAGATCAAAAACTGACATTTTGCCACAGGAAAGGCAGATATTTTCTTCTTTAAGTGGTGACCACAATGAAATAGCCAAAATGCAAACTTGAACATTATTTTTTCCAATTGAAAAATCGATCGTGTGATGGATTGAAAATCGAACAAAATGGACTTGCGCAAAAAAGAAATAGGTATGTACTTGTAAATATCGGTTGAAGCAGATGGGCCTCTCCATCCGACATATACCATGCCATTTTCCTCATCATCGCATGGGTACAAGACCAAATTCTCAGTAGATTCTGTTAGAGGGGGCACAGGATCTTGCCAGGGTCTTTTGAAAGGAGCTTGTGGTGTCTGGTTTAAAATGGAAAAAATTTAATTAAACAACGTTAACAACGCAGAATTAACAGGGTGCTTTGAGTTAAATTCAGTTGACAGATAGTGAATGGGTAATTATTCTTGGAGAAACAAAGAAAGATCACACCAACTTTGAGGCACTAACTTAGAAGTCCAACAAGGAAAAAAAATTAGCAGAAATTTGAAAACATCAAAATTAGAAAAAGTGGTAGTATTTGAAAAAAAGTTGTCTTTGTGCGTGCAAATGTTTCAGCGGTATTTTTGTTTTTTTTTTAGGTTGTACTCTTGGAAGAAAAGTATGTACAAAGAACACATTTAGACATAGATATAAGTTGCTTCAGCAGTATGATTTAGACAGATTAACCGGAATGAGCTTAACTACATCCGACCCAATTTTCTCTCATGTTTTATTTTTCACGTACAGAAAACTAAGCTACTTTGAAATTTGGGTTTAAAAGCGTGAAGTAGTTAAGTTCTCTGTTGGTAAAATAAAACATGAGAGAATTAGGTAACAGGATTTGCAGTCAGGGTGACTATAATTAAATCTGTTCATCTTTGCTAGGTTGGGTCAAAAAATTAGAATTTAAGTTCTCAAAGGAAAACTCTCCAGTATTCTATGGGATAAGTTAAGAGAGGCTTACTCATAAATATGCCGATGAATGATTTAAAGCTTCATTGTAATCAGACATTTCTGAGCCTCACAAATAGCAGATTAAAAATTTCGAATGGCTTTTTCTAGAAACTACATTTTTTGAGCAGCAAATTTTGAACATTTACGACTACCGTTGGGTTTGACATTTTTGGATCCTCAGTGTACACACTTTTACACACACTACAAAGTGTTCGCAAAACATTCCTCAAGGCAGTGGTACTCATATGCCGATTTTGAGTTTTTCTGAACAAAGGTGCTTTTCTCTTTGGACCATCAAAAATAAGCTTTTTTTTAGAATGTAACAACTATGTGTGTGTAAATATTCTCTCCGGAGGAAATTGGAAATAGAACTTCATGACTGTCTGTTTCTTAGTTATGTAAGAAAAATTGAATGAGGTAAAAAAAAATTAAATCTAAGATAAATCAGACATTCGTACCTGATGGGCTTTAAGTAGGATTTTCTGTTCAATAGGCGCCAAAGCATCAAAGACTTGTTGAGCTGAGACTTGGCCAGTGATGATGAGGCGCAAGTTTTCAGCTCGGTAGAATTTCTTGTGAAAATCTCTGACCTACCAGAGAGTAAAATAAAAAATATGAGCAAATTATCGTATTTTTTGGATCGTTTAAAATGTAAATTACAAGAACTTTAATAACAAAGAAAAAACTCACGCTGTCTTGAAGAGCAAAAATTTTGAAGATTGGAACAACATGCCAGCAAAAATGCATTAAAACTGAATTTACTCCTCTCAAATTCTTGGATTGGCACCCTCAAACAGCTGGTAGGAGCGAACTGAAAAATTTACTTCAAAACAATATATATTTTATTCAATATGGTAAAATTTTAGACCAGAGCACTATGGCGTTGGGCATGAAAACTTTCAAGATTCCTTTTGGTCTTGAAAAATTTACAGTGGATATAACAGTCAATTCATTTTTTTTAGATTATACACTTTGATGATGCCATTCTTGTTAGAACAATTGCACTAGTTACCAAGTTGTGTTTTAGTCCTTGGTTAAAGACAAAAGAGATTTTTCTCTGATGAAAGTTTTGAAAACTGATTTTGCAAAAATAGGTTAAGAAGAGATGCCAATGAACTTAGAAAAGGATGAAGATGCTAATATGCACCAGATAATGAGAGCTACTAAAATCACTAAAGAATACATTATATGCTACAGACGGATAAAGTTTTTCTACTCTTTCGCAGATAGACCTCTTTTGGGTATTGCAATTCTCATGACATGCAGCATCAAGTAAAAAAAGTCTATCTGCAAAAAAACTTTTGAGGAAACCCCCTATCTGCTCCAAGATGTGCCATGTCTTTTTGCTGCATATTCATTTATTCATGGCCAAGCTTGAGCATTGAATCTCGCCCATACTACACTTCTAACTCCACTCCTAAGATGCAACCAATCATTTATTTGCACTGATATGTTCTTTTTAATTCTTCCAATGAAATGGACTTTGTTCATGTGTCCATGTGTCTCAAAAATATGGATCATCAAATAAATAGAGGAGTCTTACTTTCGTATTGTTGCATGATTCTCTGAGATTTTTCATGATTCCACCTGTCTCCGATTTGTAACCGCACTTGCCAGGGTAGAGTTCTCGCATCAATTTTAGATAGACTAGAGATTCACCGGTATTCTCCCTGCCTTGCATTTCACAGTAGACCACTCCTGCATCCCTGCCTTCACCAGTTACGTGATGCACCTCTGTCAAAAACCCTGAATCCTGCACAAAAAAAAGGAGTAAAGGTTTTAAAATATGAAACCTTCAACTGCAAGGATTTTTTCAGTGATTTTTACTGTGACTCTTTTAGACTATGGAGCAGATTTCATTTTGTCTGTGCGGTAAATTTAGTGTATACAGTGCACAGTGTGTAACTTTTTTCTGCATAATTATTCCCTTCAATTCATAAAACACCAAAAAACCAGCAAAATGCGAACCCTTCAAACCTTGATTACCACTGACTGCCATCCAGTTACACAAGTGGCTTAAATTCAAAACCATATGCCTCCATTATTGTGTTTCAAAATTTCTGCTCCTATTTTAATGCATCGAAGAGAAACAAGACAACTTTACAGCTCAAAATTTACACATAATATTCCATGAACAGAGAGGGAAAATTAAGGAACTTTTCAAGAAATTGAGTAGATTAGATTTCTAATGAAAAAACAAAGTATAACAGGAAGTCTGCAACATCGTACAAGGAGATGAGTGATTTCGTGCTTTCGACATGTAACTTAAATAGTCTCTGTAGACACTCATCTTTAAGCGGATGATGCATGATATTCGAGTTTATATTTTCCAGGAAGATAACAGCTTTTAAAAAGGAGAAATATGAATGAAGAAGATATACCGTCAGAGTTGGATAAAGTATATGATCGAGGTACACCGGCATTAATGAGAGGAAGCCTTCGCTTCCTGCTGTTGTCATGGTGTAGCAAGTATGGTCCGTGTCTGAAACATGAAATCATAAAAAAGTTGATAAAAGAGGCTCAGTTTCTTTTATCTTCCTCTAAATTCTTCTAATCCTAAGATTGTCATGTCTTGACTTGGAGAATTTTGTGAAACATAACATGAGATCCTGGCAGCCCACATGAGATGTCAAAGACAATTTTTACTAGAATGTACTAATTAATGACAAAAACAAAAATTTGAAGATTAAGTAAAAGTAAAAAAAAATTGGATTAATTTGAATTGGTCTTCTGTTGCATTTGGAGAAAATTATTATGTGAAAAGAAAAATCATTACACCATGACCATCATCAGGAGAAGGGCTCATCGTTTGGAGAGATACATTTTCAATGGGGGAGATTGTTTTAGGAAGTAAAAATGGCACTTGAGTTTTAGACAGAAAATTGTCTCTGATATCACAGAATAAGGCGAGCAATTTTATAACGTTAGATTAAACGTTGTTTTGATTTTGAATTTTAAACCAAGAGAGGGTAGGTACCATTGAGGATGTGCCATTATAAGCCCAAAATTCTGAGCTCCTAACAATAATTGGTTGAAATTTAAACACAAGTTCTGCCAAAACTTGATTCTAACAGTGCACACTTCAAGACATCTGAACTCCAGTTTGGTTTGACATTTCCGAGCATTTCTTAAACAAAAATGTTTGTTTGGCAATTTATTTTACAATGCTATCTTTCTCCAAAGATGGTCATACATTACAAGACATCTTGAAATTCCTAGGCTTGCTTTGATCTCCAAAAGAGATCAAAAAAAAGTTTGGACTTTTCCAATCTAACTAAAATGTAAATCAAGAGCAGCTGCATTAAGAGGTTCACCAAAATCACTTCTGGAGACGAGATGCAGAAAAAAATCAGTGATTTACGCACCTGTCCAGGCATTGGTTCCTGAGGCAAGACATCGGTTGGCTAGGAGATCAAGAACGCCTTTGTATGGGTATTCTTCACTGCCCAAGAATATCAGATGCTCCAAAGTGTGCGGTAATCCATCATCATCGAACGCCTCCGTTGCTGAAATTGTAACACAAATATTCTTTTCAATATATCCTTAAAAAACTGATGAGTTTGAGTTTAGGCGTTGGGTGTAGAGAGGGCATTTCTTGGTTGCAGTGTCTCACAATTTTCACGGTTAATTTACATTTTAGAGAGGAAAATGTTTAGTGAATTTTCTTGAATGTTTAGTTTCCAGCATTGGAAAATCATGAAGAAAATTAAGTAAAAGTTTTGACAAATTCCGTGCAATTTGCTTCAATTATAATGGATGAAAAGTTACCTGAAATTATGAGACACTGCAACTAAGAAATGCCCTTTTTGCAACCAGGGCTTCAATTTTACTTGATATTTTAAACGATAGAAATTTTTGAATTCAGTAGATTCTCTACGATGATAAGTAAGTTTAGCCCTCACAAACTTTAACCGGCAAATCTCTGCAAATTATTCACCCCTTACTTAACAATTAGCAAGAGCCAATGAGGCAACAGCAATGAGTGCATTGAATGTAAAGACAAAAGTCAAATCTTGTTCACAGCAACTCAACATCGGTGACCACCTGATGCATGAACCAAGGAAGCGGTGCTAATTCCTCAACATGCAATGGGCGTGCTCCGCCTTAGTCGCAAAGAAACCATTGGAGCACTTACCAGTTCCAAAAAAAGTAGATTTGAGACTATGATCAGCCACATAATGCAATGCCGTATGACGGCCTGTTGACGAATGGCCTGTACGAGCTCATGCATCGTATGTTGAGACAAACGTCAATCTCTAATTAGCTCTGAATTAGCACCACTCAACAGGTTATTACATGCAGTCAGATAGCACTCCTGATGAGTGGTGATATAAACAATACTTTGACGTTTGTCTCAATATACGATGCGCAAGCTCTATGTTTCATAACGATTGTAGGCATGAGTACCGTAATGAACAAAATACAAGTAACCAAGGTGGATAAGGAATGGTGGTCGCATTTCGTACCCTCTTGACGTCGCACGGAATTGGGTACGTTTCCAGTACATCCTACTTGCATGGCAAAACATGTACCCTCTGCTGCACCTCACAGCCTTTAAATGGCGGCTCAACCCGAAATGCGACCACCTTTCTTCATCCGCCTTGACAAGTAACTGCCAGGAACTGAGATGAATTGTGTCTTACCAAGGCAAAAGTATCCATTGACCACAGGCCCATCAACATCTGCAATGACAACAGTGAGTCCTGTCTTCGAAGACCTGTACTTGTGGACAGCAATGCTGTCATTGGCTTTCGATGAAAACAAGTGCTCAAAGCTGTTGGAGTGACTATTTTGTCCTGTTTGGTCAGTGGGGGCCATCCTTAGACACACACTCGTAACGAAAGTTAGGGAGATGAGATAGAAGAGCCAAATTACTCGGAAAAGAGAGGAAATTTCAAAACACGCCTATCTGAACATCTAGTTATCAGCTGATAATTGATAAAGGATTGATAGGAATGCCGCTCACGAACGGCTCTCTCGAGGTGCGTATTGAGAATTTAAAGTAAAACGAAAAAATTTACACTTGCTGGGGCGAAGTTAGTAATCCAACGCGTTCACTGACACCTGGAATGGAGATGGGAAACTTTCCCACGAGGAAAAGAGCTAAATAATTAAATAAAACTCGATGTAACGCTATGAAGCCAACGCAAAAGCGGGGAATCTAACCTGCAAAAGTGCAAAATGCAACCACTGTTGTTGTTGTTCTATGCCATGCTATGTTGCCACAATGTAGAAATAAAGAGAAGTTTACTTGATTTTTATTACTTCGCTTCTTCAAAAATATGAATCCGATTGATTAAATAAACATCAGCATTAGCAGTTTTTGTCAAAAATTGCATGTCCGACCTCTCTAATTGACCCAATCCACTGTGCGGCGGTCGGCATGTAACACATATTAGCACCTACAAGACTGCATGAATACTTCACGCATTGCGTCAAACACGCACGCCGCGCGCCGTAAGTTCGGCGACGGTCTGTCGCGTCGGCGTGAAACGCATAGCGCCTACAAGGCTGTCGGAATACTTCCCGCATTGTGCCAAACACAGTGCGGTCAGCGCGGCGCGGCGGCGGCGGAAGTTAAAATTAATAAACTGCATTTATGTTTGTTCTTTCATAATTTCTACGTTCATTTCTTGCAAATGGAAGGTCTTGTTCACACAGAGATAGGTTTACGGAACTTAACTTTCGCGCAAAGTTCCGTGAACTTTTGTTAGAAGTGTTGACAGGGCTTTTGCAAAAAATGTGCCCAACACAAATAAACGCGTCTTATGCGCCCCTCACCTCCCCCTCCGGCACGTTCACTTGATGGTTTTTATTGATGTTTCGAAACGAATGAGAAGGGGGCGGCAAAATACAGGCGGCAAGTAGGTAAATCCGGCCCTGCCCGCTCATGAAAACGCAATGGTTTACGAGATGCCATGCTGCTGCGTTCGTCATCGTGCGAGGCGATGAAAACGTGAACCTCACGCGTTTAATTTTAGGGTGGTTTCGGACTAAATTTTTTATTTCAGCCCCTAACAAATATCCGAATCGATGCGAAAGAAGTTTATCCACAGGGAAATAAAAACCAAACACTCTTTTTTCGCGTAAATACGTCAAAATCGTGTTAAATGGTAGACAAGTACCGAATTCTAACTGAACCGAAACTTGAATATCAGCACGAGAATGTGAGCTCCAAAGTTAAAATTTTCAACGAAAAGCACCCTGAACCAAGTGGTTATACTGGAAATGACTACAATATCTCAATTTTTTTCCATATGTCACCTTGGTCTTCGTCTCTGGATACCTCAATCTCCTCCTTATTTAGGTCGAAAACTTCAATCCAGTAAATAGCTTAGGTCGCATTTACAGTCGTTCCTTAAATGTTAAGGCTCCCTTAAACGATGCGATTATATTGAAGAAACGATTAACAACGATTACCGATTTCCGGTTTACCAGCGATTCACCGCCTACGAATACGGCCCTTAATGTGGTCCTTCTGCAATGTATACCCACGAGTAGAAATACAATGAATAAAAATTGAGAAAAATAGTGTGACTGAAATTCGAAGTCTGAAGGTCTAGGACAACCACCCGGTTTAACCAATTAACCAATGAGGTTACTCTATTTTCCATTTGTCTTCTTCGTTCATCATTTTGTCCATCAGTCTCAAGAATTAGCCCGCAAAAGGGTTCCTCGGAGACCTCTGTCGAGCAAATATGGGCCCGATTACCTCGGCACTCTTTCAAGAAATCTCGTAGGAGTTTGCAGTTTGCAGGGCTATTCCAGTTCTCTTCTGAACCCTGGTAAAAATTGGCGATAGGAGCTGCGTTTCAAAATACCATAGGAGTTCTTATAGCCGACTGAAGAGGGCGATAGAAAATCATATAGCTGGCTGTAGAAAGTGGGGAGAATTATACGGCCGGGCTACACGAAGCGATAAAATATTATACAGCCGGGCCATAGTTCCTATTGCCGGGCTGTACACTTTATCGCCTGGCTGTTGCTTTTTCGCCATCGGCTATAAAAGGCTATAAGAAATTGCGTAGAAATTCGTGTGCTTTGTAAATCCTTAAGTTTGTACGGAATCACTTTAATATTTACAAAACCCACATTATATTTTCCTTCACTACATATTTTCTTTCATCAATTAAAATGAGAATAATCCATAAAGAGTGTGCAAAAATTTCAAAGTCATGAGTTGAAAAACGCTGACTCCACGAGATTATATATTAGAGCCTAACATAAAGCGGAATGGCGGCGCACTGGCGCCTACAAACCTAACAGGGATACTTCACGCATTGCGCAATGCGTGAAGTATCACTGTTAGGTTTGTAGGCGCCAATGCGCGTTTTGCGCTCTCTGCCCGCTCGCCGCGCCGGGCCACAGCGCGCTGGCTGCCCGCCCGCTGCGCCGCATCGCAGCGTACCACGGCGTTAGAAGCAACTATTTCACACCAGAGGTATTGCACAGTATCATACGAAATTGAAGGCGCTCCAACATATTAGGAATGGCAGGCATCCTTCAAAAGAACGGAGCTTTCCTCGCAAAATAAATCAAGATACTACGGCCCAAAAAGAGAGCGGTAGTCCATAAACTCACTAATAATAAGTCCTAGCATCCGAAATTAGTAACGTTTAGCATACACTTTATCGCCAGGCTGTTGCTTAATCGCCATCGGCTATAAAAGGCTGTAAGAAATTGTGTTGCCGGCTATAGAAGCTATTGGAAATCTTACAGCCGGCTGTAGGTGTATGGTATTTTGAAACACAGATTCTACCGCCAATTTTTATCAGGGAACCTTTTCCACTTTTCATCAGGAAAGGCCCTCAACACGCCGTACCGCGATGATGGGCTTTCCGCTACCGAGAAGAGACATTTCATCATTTCTTACGGATGATGGCGAGACGTGCGGCACGGAGCTGCAATGAGTGGATCGTGTTAGAGGTCCAAGAACTAAACATCGGAACAGAGGTATTCTCGACCACCGACTCCAGACTATTTCCTGGCACCAACAACGACTGCGGCCTACAGAGAGGAAACGGGGAATTCCGTGCGTTTTCATCCATCATCAGACACCGACGCGACGCGACGCAACCATGCTTGCCGGGCGGTGAGAAAAACCCCCGCGTTCACAGGGCGAATCATTAAATTCAATGTTCAACCCGGCAAAATTGAACGCAACGAACGCAACCATCGCGACGGTTTGCGGCAAGGTTGTCGGATGACAAAAACGAGTTTATTTTATTATGTCTCGACGAGGCTCCGGCCCCAGCTTTTTTCAGTGCTAGGATGGCATTCATTTAAAGACGAAAACTGAAAAAGTAATAATAGGAAACCTTAATTGCACATTTTAAAAAGGAAAAACTCTGAATGAAAGTTCAACTTTTATGCGGATGAGAGAGCTTTTTTTTTAATTTAATTTTTTCTTACTTGAAAATGCAACTTAGCACTTACACGAGATTTTATCTCTTTATTTTAGGGCATTTTGACAAACAAATTTACTTCGGTGTGTTGTGTGCGAGTATTGTAATTGACTTTAACACTCATCAACACGGTCGATATTTAGAATTTCAAAAAATTTGGATACCGATTTTCTTCCGTTAATTTTTTTTTTTTTTCGTGAATTCCACAAATGTACATTTCACATGAGGATTATAAACCACCAAGAGGATTTCTCCATTCGCATTTGCACAATCAACCAGTTCTACGACAGTCCGTTCCCTTTCTTTTTAAATAAGTCATTATGTATCTGAGGTATCTACGTAATGCTCAGTTTTGGAGCCAGAGACTTAGTCAAGGGACCGAGGCCCGAACTACCCTACCCCTTGACGCTCCTTCAAAAGACAAAAAATCCATTTTATAACAGCAAAATGTTCTGGAATTAGGGTTCTAGACGAAGGATCTAGCTAAAGTAGCCCCAGGGCAGTCCCGACATTATTTCAGCGTTTAGTGATTAAATAATTACAATTGTAAATGCAAGTACCTAACTAGATTAACTCCAGTAGCAGAATCATAGAAGGAAAAGACAAAGATTATGTAGGTACGGAAGTTAATTTTTCTAACGCATGTATACGAAAGTTTTAAAAGTGAACATTTTTATGTAACCATTATATAAAGAAGTCATAATTTTCGTGAGCTTTTCGCAAAAATATTAAAAAATCTTCTAATTCGCGAAAAGCACACGAAAATTGGACGTATTTCTATCAAACGGAACTATGTGCATTAAGACATGAGCCCTGACACCCATAAGAATACATGCATAACAGGGCTCACGTCATAATGCACATAGTTCTGTTTGATAGAAATACGTCCAATTATGACTTTTTTTTTATATAATAGTTACATGAAAATGTTCACTTTTAACACTTTCGTATGCATGCGTTATATAAAAAAATGAAAAATTGTCTGTAAAAAAAATTACCTTATCTAGTTTTTATCATTTTTCATATATCGTCACCTTCCAGGCAAAGTATCACAAGCGCCATGCGACGTTTAAAAATTTCCGCCGCCATTATATTTTTTTACAGAGAAATTGTTCAACGAAGCTGTCCGAAAATTACACCGAATTTTCTTTGTGCTGCCGATAAAATTTAGTGAAATTTTCGAACAGATTCAACCAAAAATTTCTCAGTGAAAAAATAAAATGGCGGCGGAAATTTTTAAACGTCGCATGGCGCTTGTGATACTTTGCCTGGAAGGTGACGATATTACGGTTAGGTCTGAATTTTGATTTTTTTTTTGTATAAACGTTACACGTTTTTTGTATAAAACTACCATTTAGATAACAGATATTTTTTTTTATATTTTTTTTAGAAAAACAAAAATTTGTTCAGCTACTAGGGAAGTATTATAGTCTTGTAGTCTTTAGTAAAAAAAAAAAAGAAGAAAAAAGTCGACGGATCTCCCGTGAGGAGAGTGACCATGGGGGACGGTGCCCCCTTTCTCCCACCCATTATGCTCGAATCGGGAGCTATTCTGCCGTGCTAAGGAAAAACGCCGTATGAACATGCCAAAGTTGCCAAAAGAGTTGCCAAATTACCTCCGATAAAATGTTTATTTTGAGAATAGTTATCAATATTTTTCCTTGAGATTTGCAGACTATTTAAATCAAATTACGAACGAAATTCTCTGAAAAATCGAAAGAAATATGTTTATTAATATTGCCGGAAATTCGTGATTTATCCAAGGAAATTTTGCAGCGCCTAAAGGCTCGTTCGGCGTTTTTACTTAGCACGGTAGTATTACGACACCCTTGATTGGTTTTCTTTGTGGGTACTCGCAACGTTTCTCTCCGTTTATTTGATTGCTTCGGCGGTGGCTAGCTTCGACCGCACGGACACATTTGTCGTGCAGACGGTTTCGTCGATAGTGGGGAGTGGAAATATGGGTGTCCAAGCTTCCGCGAGATCACACAGTGAAAGTGTAGGGATCTCGCTATAAATCCTGAGGAAAAACCTACCCTCCGATAATAACGGTGTGTGCGTCCACTAACTCCCGGCATTGTCATGAGATTGGTGAGTGTTCCAAACAATTCAACATCCCTGGTAAAAATTGGCGATAGGAGCTGCGTTTCAAAATACCATAGGAGTTCTTATAGCAGACTAAAGAAGGCTATAGAAAATCATATAGTTGGCTGTAGAAAGCGGAGCAAATCATATACTTAGCCGGGCTATACGAAGCTTTAAAAAAAAATACAGTCGGGATGTAGTTTCTATCGCAAGGCTTTCCACTTTATCGCCATTGGCTATAAAAGGCTATAAGAAATTGCGTAGAAATTCGTGTGCTTTGGAAATCATTAAGTTTGGTACGGAACTACCTTAATATTTACAAAACACACATTATATTTTCCTTTAAAACACATTTTTTTACATCAATTAAAATGAGAATAATCCATACAGAGTGTGCAAACATTTCAGAATCATGAGTTGAAAAACGCTGTCTCCGCGAGATGAAATATTAGAGCCTAACACAAAGCGGAGCGGCGACGCACTGGCGCCTACAAACCTAACAGTGATACTTCACGCATTGCGCAATGCGTGAAGTATCACTGTTAGGTTTGTAGGCGCCAATGCGCGTTTTGCGCTCTCTGCCCGCTCGCCGCGCCGCAGCGTGCCACGGCGTATGAAGCAACTATTTCACACCAGAGGTATTGCACGGTATCATAAGAAATTGAAGGCGCTCCCACATATCAATAATGACAGACATCCTTCAAAAGTGCGGAGCTTTCCTCGCAAAATATATCAAGATACTACGGCACAAAAAGAGAGCGGTGGTCCAAAAACTCACTAAGTCCTAGTATCCGTATTTAGTAACGTTTAGCATAAAATGTATCGTCTGGCTAATGCTGAATCGCCATCGGCTATAAAAGCCTATAAGAAATTGTACAGCCGGCTACAGAAGCTATTGGAAATCTTACAGCCGGCTTTAAGTCTATGGTATTTTGGAACACAGATTCTACTGCCAATTTTTACCAGGGATGTGCAATGGAGGTGTTGCATGTGTGAGGAATTTGCGATTTGATTGTTGATTTCTCTGTAAAAGTTCGCGAGAAACACGATGGTGCCACTGGTTTTCTCTGAAATCAACTCCCAATCTCAAAAAAAGCTCTCGAGTTGAGGCCAAAACGGAGGGGATAACCCACGCTATCCTGATAGTCCACCTCTACATCAAGACAAACTCTCCATGCAAATATAGGGAGCAAGTATACATTAGCAGGGTTGCCGTGTTTTCAGTTTTGGAGTCCCCAAATAAAGTGGCAGCCCTGTCAATGTATTTGTTCCCTATCTTTAGGTGGAGAGTTTGTTTTGATGTAGAGGTGGACTCTCAGGATAGCGTGGGATATCCCCTCCATTTTGGCCTCAACTTGAGAACTTTTTGTGAGCTTGAGAGTTGATTTCAGGGAAAACCAATGGCACCGTCGTGTTTTTCGCGAACTTTACGCAAGAATCAACAGCTAGTCAAATCGCAAATTTCTCACACATGCAACATCTCCATTGAAAATAGTTTTTCCTTCCCACTAACAAATTGTTAATTTTGAATGAAAATAATCGTGTAGATTTTAATACCGTGCATATATTGAGTATTTTTAAAAGAGAGGGAGAAGTTGCACGACTTTCAAAACACTGTAATCGCGCTGGTTCCTTTTTGCCAAATGCGATAAATGCGATAATGATTTCAGTCGTTTGTTTAAGGATCGTAAAATTTTAAAAAAAAATCTGAGTGTTCAATTTTCTTAATGACTACTTGATTCGTAGAGACGGATTTGAACATATGATCAAGTGAGTGTAAAAAAATGGTCTATAATCAAACAATCCAAACGGCGCAATCGATGTATGCACCGCATTTAGCAAAAAAGAACCAGCGCGATTACAGCGTTCTAAAAATTTTGCAACTTCTCCTTTTCTTTTATAAACACTGAATATTCGCGCAGTATTAAATTTTACACAATTATTTTCCTTTAAACTTAATAAATGGAAAGCCAAAGCTAATATTTGCTATTCTGGGAGATTTTTTAGATAATAATTATGAGGAAGCAACATTTTTACAACACTGTAGTCACGCTGGTTCGGTGACGTGGCGTGCTTTACGCGATATCGATTAATCTGTCATTTAAACCTATGAACAAGGCTCTATAAACAGGGTGTTCGCAGCGAACACCGTGATAATCGATTCTTTACCGTAGCTTCAAATGGGGAAATATCGATAAATGTCCTATCGTTGACGTTAAGCGACCAAACTTGAATTAGTAGGTTATGAGTGATGGGTAGGTTAAGGGTCGGGGGGGGGGGGGGGG